ACCTTACTTGATTAATTACATTCTTGGTTTGGAGTTGAGACACGATTAGTTGTGTTTTCTTAATGCCCCCTAATTTCTTGTTCTTCATTACTATTTTTCTGTTGTTATTGTTTTTTTACTATGAACTGCGTTTAGAGTTTGATAATAAATGTTCATTTATGTGTAGTTTGAGAAAAAAATTGAACGTTGTTGGCTTGGAGTAAATATATAGTTAGTTATTTTGTGACTACTCCTTAATTTCTTGTTCATCATTGCTATTTTTGTTGTTGTTATTGTTTATTATTATTATTATTATAGATTGCATTTAGAATTTGACAATGAATCTTCATTTATATGTAGTTTGGGAAGGAGATTGAATGCTATTATTTTGGAGTGAAGATACGATTAGTTGTTTTCCAACTTGTTCCCATGCCCTCGGTAGTTTCAAACGAGGACTCTTAAGCCCCAGACGTGGGAACTGAACTAGGATTTCTCATTCACCTCCATTTGAATCACCTTCATTTCGATCATCCGAGTTTGGGATAAGCAGTAATAATTGCCAGCTGGCTCAAGTCTCGAGACTGGACAGGTAGATCTTCCACCTGACGAAGGAAAATACCATATAATTCAATCTATAGTTAATAACTTTTGATTTTGTCATATTTTATAATTTATATTTATTTAATTAATTATTTATTTATGTCGAATTTTGGTATTATTTATACTAATTTATTCTAATAATTGTATTTATTTCATCTTGTGTGTAAAATATTAATTTACTAGTTTTTAGGTGTAATTTATAATTTATTTGGTGTACAAATTAAAGTAATTGATGTGTTCCTTGAATTATATTTTTAGGCATTATTTATGTGTTATTTAACTATTAATTTTTGCTAAATTAATTTTATTTAGTAAGTATATTTATTTAAATAAATATTTATAAAGTGTTTATTATTAATGCATGTGAAATAATGCTTAAAAAATTGATTTGAGAGGTCAAACTTGGTCTCAAAAAGCGAAAAAATGGCTTCGGGAGCGAAAAAGAGCTGCTGGTGCGAAAGTCAACAAAAGTCAATGGTCAACACCAGCGGAAAGCGAGCAGCGGCTGTGCCGAAAGCGAGCGAGCGCAGAAATCCCTACATTGAGGTGCGTGAAGCAGCGGCTGGCAACTGCACGAAAAGCAAGCGACGGCTGCATTTATGAGCGCAGAAAGCCATGCATATAGGTGAGCTAAACGACGGTTACGAGAAATTTGAGCGGCAGCTACACGGAAAACGACGGCGGCTGCATTTATAAGCGCGGAAGGCCATGCATGGAGGTGAGAGAAGCAACGGCGGCTGCTATGCGGAAAGCGAGCGGTGGCTGCATTTATGAGCGCAGAAGGCTATGCATGGAGGTGAGAGAAGCGACGGCGGCTGCTGTGAGGAAAGCAAACGGCAGCTACACGGAAATTTGAGCGAGCATGGAATTCCACCGATGGTTACACGGGAAGCGAGCGATAGTTTCACGGACACTAGCGAGCATTAATAGCCAGTCGCCGCATTTATAAGCACGGAAAGCAAGAGAGCACATAAATCAACAGCATTTATGGCAAGCGGCTGCATTTACTGCCCAGACTCCCACAGTTCCTACATTTATTCTTGCATTCTCTCGGCTCCCACATTTAATTTCTGCATCATCACTTAATCAATTTTTGGCTATTTTGTATAATTTTTATTCTAGAACCTTCTAGAAAATATGTAGTTTTTAGTAAGTTATTGGTAGTTATTTTTAGAAATAGTTATTTATGATAGTTAGTATCTATTTTTAAAGGTAGTTATTTATAGGCAGTTGTAACCGCCAAGCTTACAGAAGTTTCATTCCCCTAATATATCTACTTCATTGTATATTATATACACCCATATATATGTACACAAATATATACATAATCATACACAAAATCCACCATTGTGTACACTCCATTTTCTTCATTTCTTCTCCTCCATATTTTTATCTAGTTTAATAATACGAGATTTTCAATTTTGTGTCGCGAACAAACTAATTTTCTCCTCCTTTTCTTTTAATCCTAGCATATTATTTTAGCCCGCAAAATTCCTATCACACTTCTCCACCTCATCTTCACCTAAAAATTTCATGTTCGATTTAAATTGTTCAAGTTAGATTTCGACAAGGTTGTGGAAGGGCGACAGAAGAATCGACTATTTCGGCTTAGTTTCGCGTCGTATTCATTAATATATTATAGGTAGTTCAACGTGGCTAAGTACGCGGGAGCCTTGTTGACTTGCTTAGTTGTTGTTCTTGAATTTGATTTTGATTAAAGAGACGTATCAGAGGTAGAGCCACTAGCGGAATGGTTGGAAAATAATTCATGGGGCATAGGCTCTTGCCTATCGGGTCACAGAAATGTCCGGTGACAGCGGTTTTTCAAGCAGATAATGTTTTCGCATGGTGTCGCTGAAGCCTCGTTGTAAATCCCCTAAGGTCAAGTACCAACCGAGTCGAAAATCGGCTTAAGCGAGCAAATGCGATCACGCTCCTTCCTCCTAGCCACCCCGTAATTATATATATTTTTCGCTATCACACCATCGTCATCCTGCTCATTTCATCCACGAAAATCTAGTCATTAAGGAACGCAAAAGTCACACACAAACGCCTCGCTCTATCCTTTTCGAAATACGTAGACTTTATTGTTTTTTAGTTAGATTTATTTTATGCGATTTATCTTTTCAGTTCTTCGATTGCATTAACTCATTGCACTTTTTCTAATTTAATATAGGATATTCGCATATTCTCTGAGTTCGACCCAGACACTCACCGATTAAAGAGATTTTTTTTCATTTTTGACGAAGTTTTTTAAGTTACCATACGAACAAGCACGACACTATTTTTATTTTAAACCTATATCATTTTTTTGTATCTTAAAAGATATTTTTAAACCTCCCAAAAATCATCGATCAATAGTCCAATAGGATTTGAATCTATACCGTAAGTTTAGAACCGTTTTACGAAGCTTCGAAGAGATCAATAGAGTTACGAATGTTTTATTTATCTCCGGACTCCTCCTTAATTTCTTGTTCTTTTATTCCTATTTTTGGTGATGTTATTCTTTTTTATTATGGATTTTTTTTAGAATATGACCGTGAGGGTTCATATATGTGTAGTTTGAAAATGAGATTGGATGCTATTATTTAAAGTACATATATGATTTTTGTATTTTTCGAACTTAATTTCTTGTTCTTCATTACTATTTTTGCTGTTGTTATTTATTATTATTATTATTATTATGGATTGCGTTTAAAGTCTTCATTTACATGTAGTTTGGGAAGAAAATTGAATGTTGTTGGTTTGGATTAGAGATATGGTTAGTTATTTTTTCACTGTTCTTTAATTTCTAATTCAAAATGACTATTTATTTTGTTGCTATTGTTTTGTTTATTTAAAATCTGACAATGGGTGTTCATTTATGTGTAGTTTGAAAATGAGATTGAACGTGGTTTAGAATACATATTGTTTTCCATCCTCCTTAATTTCTTTTTATTCATTACTATTTTTGTTGTTTTTATTATTTTTATTATGAAATACGTTTAGAATCTTACAAATTTATTCAAATTTGGTGCAAATCTTACAAAAAAAAAAAAAAAAAATACAATAAATTCATTGTTAGCAAAATATTATGAAACAAATGCCAAACCAAGGCTAACATTCCTAAATTTCATTTCAAAGAGCAAAAATTAGATTATCAATTTGAATCTTATCCAAAATATCATCATAATTCATACCGTTTGTTTAATTCGAAAATTTCATTTTACAATCTTCCGTCAGTAGATTGTGTAACTTAAAAAAATTATATAAAATTCATTTTACACTCAAATAGAACAAATTTGATCTCTAATTAAACCTAACACACATATTTACATTTAAAATGAAACAAATGTAAAAAAACACCCAAAACGTATAGAATACTCGTCGAACATTCTGCAATATATTTTCGTAAAGAAGAAAATTGTATACTTTCATATAATGATATAAAAACCATTTTCTTTCAAATAACTAATATAATATCTCAAAATAAAAATAAAATCATAAAGAATATAAATATGATTTGAAAACAATAAGTTTATGATTTAAATAACCTAAATAACTTAAGATAATATACGTAAGTCTATAAAATCAAGTTTTTAAGTGTACTAAAGCAACGAATAAAAATACTTATTCCAAAATCACTTCCAATGGAAAGATGTAAAAATATATCTAATGACATAAATTTTATGAAAATCATATATGAATTCACGAATAGGCAGCCGACAACAACTTTAAAATATTTAATTAACAAAAACACGGACCAACTCGACTAGTGATGGGGAGTAAAATTAGGATATAAAGTTTATTAAATAAAATTTACATTTTAAGTGTAATTTTTTATTATTTTAGAAAAATAAACTTATAAATAATAGAAATCTAATTAAAAAAACACCCTCTTCGTCAATCAATTTTACAAGGTAGATAGTTTTATCCTGCTGATATTTAGGGTGTTTTTTTTTTTTTTTTTTTTTTTTAAGGTTTTGGGGAAATTTGGGAATGGGTTTGATTTTTATTTGAATTTTAAAATGAGTTTGAATTTTTATGTTTCTTTTGGATTTGAGTTTGGTTGGAGTTTGAAAAATTTTGATGTGTATTGATTTGATATATATAAATATAATAATATAAATATATAATAGTTTGTATAATTTAATTATAAATTTATATTATATTTGTATATATATTTTTAAATTTTTATTTATTTGTATTATAGAAAATTTTATTCTCTACAAAATAACATATATATTATATATTTTTTATTAAATTATAATTATTATAATTTATTTTTTTATATTTATAATTAAAAAAAAAGGACAGACTCAGACGGATTGTCCCCCCAAAGCCCACCAGCACAGTGATCCAGCCCAACAGACCCTTAATTATTTTTTCCCATTTCTATTTGTATTCTCCCGTTTTTTACTTGTGTGTGTGTGTGCCGTTATTCTTCTTCGCCTTCACTCTCACCCTTCTTTGTTAAATTCTACTCTCACTTTGTATATAAGGCTCACTTTCGAAAATCCACCATTTCCACACACCTTCAATCACGTTCAATTTCCCCCCGCAATCTCCCAATCCGCCCGATGCTTTTGGGCGTCTTTCTGTGGAAATTTCAGGCCGCAAGGCTAATCAGTCCTTGCTTTTGTTTTTCTGCATTTATTGGTTCGAGTATCAAGGCCTCTTTGGAGTGAGAGAGGCTGGGGATCAAATTCTGCACTGGATTTTTGTTTCTGATTTTTGAACTGATTTTTGGAGAGACAGAGAGATTAGAGGAATGGATAGAGGGAAATTGGTTGTGGAGAGGGTACAGGGGAAGTCAACTCTAACCCGATGTTTCTCAAAGTATCCCTTTAAATTCATCAACCCTAACAAGGTGCACAGTAAAGCTTAATCTTGCCATCTTGATCATTTCGATGGGAAATCAAAACTTCAATGTGGGTTTGAAATGATCATTTTCAGGTTGGTGGTGATGCTGTGTGGGTTTACACCATCACCTATGGCGGAGGCATTGTTTCTGTACGTGCACAATTATTTATTTATGCATATATATGTAATTTTTGGATCTCTTTATTGCTGAAATTCTGATTGATCTGCTGTGTAATTACTGGTTTTTATGTTGCATTTGGTTAGGGGGATTCCATTGATTATGATATTGAGGTGGGGGATGATTGTATGGCAGTGTTGACAACCCAATCTTCTACCAAGGTTCTTCCACCATTTGATCTCATGTTTTTGAATGTTTATTTTATTTCAAATTGTGTTTTTTCTATATTGCAAGCTGATATTGATATCTTTTAGCGGATATGTGCAGGTTTATAAATCCATAGGATCAAAATGTTCTAAGCAAAGTTTGGAGGTAATTAGGAGTTCTTGAATAAGCTGTCCTCCCGACATCTTTGTTCACATAACACTACAGCTTATCAATGTGCAAAGTCTTGAATTATCATAAAATTGTTTGTTTTCAACTTATTAAAGGTCTGTCCACTCACTTTCTTATGTCCTCGTAATTAGTTGTCGAGTTCTTGATTTTGCAGTTTCAGCTTCTTCAGGAGCTCTAAATGTTTTGTTTGTACTATATTTCAATCGTGTAATGGTGGCTACACTATGTTGTGCATTAGGCGATTGTTGGAAGCAGTGCACTTTTGGCTCTTATACCAGATCCGGTAACTTGTTTTTCCACTGCAAGGTATTCCCAAATGCAAGTTTTCAAACTTATGCCTCAATCGAGTTTGCTTGTTGTCGATTGGATAACAAGTGGCCGTTATGAGACAGGAGAAAAATGGGCTTTTTCTCACTATAAGAGCACCAACTGCATTCTCTTACAAGGCAACGAGCCTTTATTTCTTGACACGGTAATTTTCTTGTACTACAAACTATTAGTATACTTAGTTTTGACAAATTTTACTTGTACAAGGCATTTGGTACATCCTGCAAGCAGTCGGATGGGTTTCTAGGCAACTGCCCGATAAACTTAGGACCAATTCTGTTGTGAATCTGCTTATTGTCTAAAGAAAAAACTATATTCCGATTATTTACTTATTTATAGTTTTTAGTTAGTTAGAAGCCAAGTAGTAATTTACAAACTTCCTTCTTTAAAGTAGAACCACATGATCATTTATTCTTGAAGCTGCTGCCGACTGCGTCTGAATTCAGTATTTGAACTTAATGATTCGGTATTTTGTTTAGCCGTTGGACGATGACAATGTATAATAACTTATTCATTAATTGGGACTGAATGGTAAAGTGAATACACTGTCAAGTTATAAGCTTGTGACACTTAGATCATATTTACTTGGCTAAATTGCACAAAAGCTACCCGTGGTTTCACGAAATTGTGTCGAAAACCCCATATTTCTAAAATTTGTATTAGACTCACTTATGGTTTTATAAACTGTCTAACCCCATTGGCGGTGACCTAAATGCATCCAAACTGCGAATGAATTTTAGAATCTCAATTTTAAACTCCTAAAATTATAAATATATTCATTCGCAGTTTGGGCGTGCGTAGGTCAAACACCGTTTAGACGCAGTGTTTATGAAATCATGAAAGAATTTGACGTATTTTTAGAAGTATGGAAAATTTGATACTATTTCCTGAAACTACGAGTGGATTTGGTACCATTTAACCTATTTACTTTAATGAATTACCTTTAATCCATGAAAGTAAACATACCCTTACTGTCGAAAAGAATCTACACTGTTATATATTATATATATGACTATATGGAAAGATTACCCAAAAGCTTTTCAAATACACAATTTAACAATTCAGCAATTTCAGCATCATCTGGATTCGGCTTTATCTTGTTTCTTGATGGTTTTAATTTTGAATCAGGTGTTGTTAGAGAAGGGAAGTTGTGGGTTGGATCAGTTGCAGCACTTCCATGCAATAGCCATGATAATTATTTTGGGGTAGGAGCCAATGTATTTTCGATTTCCTCATCGTCATCTCTATGCAAGCAGAAGAGATTGAATTGATTCAGGCCTGTGTACCAATTTTGCATTGGTTTCAGGCCTAAATTGAAGCTTATTCAGGATCAAATCCAGAAAGACGTCAAGAAACTAATGTCTCGGCCTTTATTTAGCAAAGGTTCTTCGAAAGAAACCAAACCCAGTTTTCTTGCTTCTTGCAGTACCTTTGGCCTAAAGGTACATTTTCTAGTCTGCCTAATTTAATTCCTTGGAAGCAACTAGAGCACTACTTGGATAATTGGATTCTTCTTATCGATCACTTTCTTGAATATAAATGTGTGTCTACACAATTTTAATTTTTATCGAGTTGGAGCGTGCGAAAGTGAACCACCATTCAACAAACTTTACCATTGAAAATGCAGTGATCTATCATCTTTTCTGTTTAGGCCGAGATTTTTCGAGTTTGGAAATAGTAGGAAATTAATATTTTTCATGCGATATTTTATAAGGGTAAATAGATATTTGATGGCTGTTTTACTTTTAAAAATTTACTGTTGATAAACAGTGTCAAAATCTCAAAAAGTGTCTGTTGCAATAGAACCAAAGTTACCAATATGAGGATAAAAGAATGCATTGAACTACTTTATAGACTTACTCATTTTTTTTTCATTCTCTCCGTATATTTTGATATTGTTTCGGTTGTCTTGACATGTTCAGGGGCAAGGCGTCGTTGTTAGGGTTGCATCCACAACCACTGAATCGATCTACAACTTCTTGCAGCAACAATTGGCCGGTATGGAGATATTGCTCGGTGCTCCTCCCTATCAATAGATAGATCGTAACCGGAAATTATTTGAAATTCAGGTATCATTCTCTCATATTTTCTTTCTTAGAGTAGATGACTATCGATGATGGTAGAGTGAGCCGAGCATATCTCGTATACCTATTCAAGATTTTTTACTAGTGTTAATATCTATATTTTCTACTACTTCCGTTCGCCTCCAAGGGTAGCATCTGCCTTTTGCGTCATTGTATTTAATATTAAAAATATCATTATATTTGTATAATTTTTCTTGTACAAATGTCCTTCTTAAAATCATCTTATTGTTTACATAGATTTTTCTCGTGCTCTAGCAAACCACAGATTGTATTCTCGATTCCATCAATTTTGATTTTTCTAGAATATATATTCAAAATTAATTTTGATAATTTTTTTTTTGTTTGTTTCATTTGAAAACAAACAAAAATAATAATAATAATAATAATAATAATAATAATAATAATAATATATAGATATAACAACAACATTAAACGAAAAAAAAACGACCTGAAGCTTTTTTGCTATGCATCTTCTAGGGGTTAATTGGAATTATATATCTTCTTTTTAATTAATGATCTTAGTTATCTTAGAGAATTAATAAATGAATTTCTATTTGTATTAATCATGTTAGTTTTCTATAAGGATGGTAGGCAATAGAATTGCAGAGAAACTGAATTAGGTTGAGAATGACAATTTTTGATTAAGTTAAAAAATGATATTGCTGGTTGAAAAAAATAAATTTTATTGCTAAAAAAATAATCAATTAGATAAGAAAAATATTATCTTATTTTTTAGTTATATTTATAGTTTGATAATTTATTTTTTAATAATAATATAGATATGATATTTTAAGAGATTTGAATAATATAAAAATCATAAAACAAAATAATAATAGTAAAAAATAACAGATAAACATAAATTAAATAATAAAAATTAAATATAAAAAAATAAAATATATAAATATATGGCATTCTCTCAATTTTATTTTTCATTATTTTTGGACATACGAAAAAGAGACTAAAGAAGAAAAAATGAATTATTTCTTAATCCTAAATTTTGATTCAACCAAACAAGAAAAATTTTATTTTTATTTCTCTGTAGCAAACAATGCTTTAGAGAATTATGATTGTATAATAAAAATAAGAAATATATTTCTAAAACCCATATTATTGTTTGTATAGATTTTATTTTGCTCTTACTGACATAGAATTAATAATATTAATTTTGATAAAAAAAAAAAAAAAAACACTCTGATTTTACTCAGATTTAAAACACATTTTAAATAACATATTGATTTAAAAGAATCTTATTTATTATTGATCACAAGATATGATCCAAGAGATTATTAACTCGAGAGAAAATGAAATGATTCTATTTTTCTTGTTTATTTGAATTAGAGAAATAGAAGATAAAATTAAATTTTTGTATCCAAAGAAATAAATATTGCAGTATTTTTTTTTATTTTTTATTTTTATCTTTTTTTGTACTATTTAATTTTTATAATTTTTAAAAATTATATTATTCAATTTTACAAAAATCACATTAAATTTAGTACTCAAGAATTTAAGTTTTACCATTTTTGAAAAAAATATACTAATATATATAATCTTATAAAACATCGTATATAATTTATAATATTTTTTTAAAAAAACACCAAAAATAATTTTTATAAATTCTCATTAGTCCTATTAATCAGTTTATATTTATTCAATCCATTCAGATAGAATTATCTGTTTCACACTTCAACCAAAAAGTTTTAAAGTTTAATATAATAATATTAAAGAAAATATTATTTAATTATAAAAAAATAAAATATATATATATATATAATCGGAAATGAGTTATTATAGATAGAATGAAACCATCTAATTAATAAGGAGTGAAACCATCCATCCTTTTCACCATTAGTATTACATGACAATAATAATAATAATAATAATAATAATAATAAAAAGATTCCAACAAAGCAAAGAGAAGATTTAACTTAAAAAATTCTATTCTTTGCCTTCATGCAAATCGATTCTATTTCATTTAGACACCACAAAAATTTACAACATAGGAAATTGCCCCCCATAAATGAATGAACAAACAAATAAGCAAACAAAGAGAAGATGAGGAGAAGAAAAGCACCATTTATGCAGTGTGATAATAACATCAACAAATTCACCACCAAATATTACTACACTACTTTCCACAAGAGATATTCAAACCATAAAACATCAAAACCAAAAACAAAAAGAAAAAGAAAAAACCCTTACCCTAAACTCCATCCATTTGTTAGCTTTTCCAAACCCGAATCGTTCCATCCACTGAAGCGCTAATCATACAATCATCCTTGGGGTGATAACTCACACTTGTTACCTGCAGAAATTCGTAATTTTGCAATAAATAAGAAACGAAACAAAGATTTGCGAATCATTGTATGGCTGTGTGACAATTAGCTTTCATATGGCATGTCAAAAACCTCCGATAATTAACAGTGCAAGTAAATGGCAAGAAAGGAGTCCGAGGAAAACTTTACCACTGAAGAATGAGATCGGAACTTGGACACAACTTTAGCATCCACAAGATTCCAAAAATAAATGTAACCATCTTCCGAACCACCAGTCACATAAGCATCAGAGTTTGTTAAGCAGCAATCCATTTTGAATGACTGGTGCAGATATGACAATGCCAACAGACAGACACAGACACAGGTGTTATTTTGTGAAATTGAATTTTCTACTTTTGTTTTATTCATGAAGAATGCTACATTTTATTGTGAAATACAAACCTTCTAAATAAATCTTAGGATAATACACATCTACTAATACCATAATTACAAAATACCCAAATGTATACGGTAAACAAGACTTAAAAACACAAGATAAGACAATAAGGGTTCATTTGGTGAGAATGGAACTGCAGAGATTGAGAAATGCTAATAGAAAATTGAATTGTAGAGAAAAAGAATTGGTCTGGAGAATAAGAATCAATCATTGTTTTGGTAAAACAAAAAATTCAATTGACGTAAATGTATCAGAGAATCGATTATCATTTGTATTCTATGTATCTATATACAAAAAATGCACAAATTAACAATAATAATAAATTCTCCATATGTAAAATCTTCCCGTCACGATGGATAGTGTGATAACGGCAATGAAGACGGAAGATGAGATTGGGGGAATAAATAATAAAGATTTTTTGATAACGAATGAAAATGATGTGATAAAAATCATATTTTATTTTTCTCAATCACAATTCACAAATTTCAATTCTTTCCATTTCACTGTATATGAGAAAGAATTGAAAGTAGAAAATGAAAAATAAATTATTTTTCTCAATTCTCAATGGTAAACAGACAAGAAAAATACATTTATTTTCATTTCTCTAGCACTAATTCCCTCTACCAAATATCCCCTAGGTGAAATCTAAAAGGACTATGTTGATAACTAAAGATAAGAATCAGAGCGAACCTTGCAGGTATGACCTTTATATTCTTGCAATAATTCACCAGTCGACCTGGCACAGAAAGGGAAGATAACCATCAAAGATGCAGAAGACACACTGATGTCCAAGAGAGTAGAATCCAGTAATACACCTACCTATCCAAAAGCCTTAGAGTAGAATCGAGACAACTAGCTAATACACAATTGGCATCATTTGACAGAGCAATGCAGTTGACGGGCTGTCCCAGATTGTCAGATATTTCTCTGGAAATAATCAATAGAAGTCATTCCTGAATGCGTATACAGATTGAAGGAACCTAGGCCAAACCATTAACTATTAAGTTTGTACATGGCTATATTCAAAAGACACCTACCTACCAGATCGAATATCAAATGTTCGAACAGTTCCATCTACACTCCCAGCAATTATCTCTGTTTTTGTTAAACAAACGGACATTACACTGTCTGAAAAGGTGTCGATGATCTGTAAAATCCAAAATATGTTTCAGTAAAGTCAAAAGTTCAATAAGATGAAGGGCGTGTTTGTTTGGTGGTTGGGATTGTGGTTGAAAGTTTGGGATGTTGTTTGGTCAACAATATAATATATGTATATATATATTTTTAAAAAAATAAATTTAAAGCATGTGGATAAATGTTTTAAAAATTTTATCTAAATATTAAATATGAATATCATTTTGTAGAGAATAAAATAATACTCCCTCCGTCCCAAATCAAAAGGGCCCTTTGGGATTTTGTATTAGAAAAAAAAATAATAGTATTTTATTAGTTAATGAAAGTATATAAAAGTTTTTGACATTTGTGCTCTTTGACTTTATGTATAAAGTAATTGTATGGGTAATAATATGTTTGTAATTTAAATAAAAGTTAAGGATATTTTTGTATTAGTGTATAATTATTTTTTCTAAAATAGAAAATGAATACTTTGAAGTGGAACAGACGAAAATGATAAAAATGGTACTTTGAATTGCACTATTTAACATACCCTAAGAGGGACGGCAAGCAAAAGTGATACACAGTAAGCACAATATAGTATGTGAGAGGGTAAAGATGTAAAGAATAAAAGAAAAAAGAAATACCTGAATAGGTTCAGTACTATGTGATCTGCAGTCCCAAGCGCGCACTGAGCGGTCATAACCAGCTGATACCACGACAGATGCATAATCATTGAACTTCACAGCATTCACCTGATAGCAAGGAGGATAAATTTCAAGACAATCTACTGAAGAACGGGAAAACATAATATGCAATTTTCAACAAATATCATTTCTCAATAATTTATCATATAGACTCGTACAATTTAACTTAGTTCCATAATATACTACAAATTTATTACATGATTGAGGAAAAGTACACAAGTGTTTGCAAAACAGAAATGGTATAATAGGATGAGAATTTTAAAGGATCAGAAACACTAATGAAATACTTAATAACTTAATCCCAATCCTAATTGGCTTAGCAGAGTTACATAACCAGAAACCATTCTAGCACACAAGCCTGCTCGCGTGAGAGGCTATTTTTCAGCTTGTATAAAATAGGCTAAGAAATTTGGCACACCCAGTTAGTTCCACATCAAGCTGAAGCTCGAGTTCTTAAACCCTCCTGAGAACGAAGTAAACTTACTGGAAGTATATAAGAGCAAAAAACGTCTTTCAATTATAACAATGAGACAAAACCTGCCATACAAGATCTTACTTTAGACTTTAGAGCTAGTTTCTAAGGGTGTGTTTGTTTGGATGATTTGATTTATTTTTCACTATTCACAAATTTTTTTCCTCCAAAAATATCTAATTAATATCTACTTTGTATTTGTTATATTACATTAAAAATTAATTTTACATTCAAAATATTACATCAATTCCTATTTATATCACATCGAATAACTTCAAATTAAAAATTTTACTATTCAAATCAAAACTCAAATCAATTCACCCAAACAAACACACCCTAAGCGTCTCTGTTTGAAAACGCATTCATCGATCAATCTAAGCACAGGATCAATCTTTTAGTTTAGCAACTGTCATAAAATTACCAAGAAATATTGGGGAACTTAAGAAGATATAATTCCTCCGACCTCGCTATCATGACCGCGGAATTTCCTGATCACACGACCACTTGACACGTCCCAATAGAAGACTTGCCTGTCCCCTCCACACGAACACAGCTTCGAATTGTCCCTGCCAAAAGGATACAACCACGAGAAAAAAATGTAAACAAAGAAAAATCAAAGCGAATTGGGCTGTTAATGAAAACGCCAGGAACGAAATTATAGGAATGTACTGCGTGACATGGACGTCGCGGACTTCACGGCCATGGGATTTGTAGGTCTTGATGTGCAGTCCACGGTAGGGATTCCACAACCGTATGGTGCGGTCTTTGCCGCAGCTCAGGCAATATTCGCCGTTTGAGTTAAAGCGTGCTGCCAGGACTGCACCTTCGTGTCCCCGGAGCACATTAGATTCAGTCCTAGGTAGAGCATTGGCACCATCAGAGCTCATCTTTGGAAGGAGTTGCTTAGAAACAACTCATATATCTTCAACACGAACTCCCAAAGAGTTATATTCGTGTATTGTTTGAACAACTCCTCAATATGAGTATATTTTCCACAGCAAAATTGTGTGTCCCCAAGCCTAGATTGCATTCTTTCTGTCACCTCAAAAATTTTAAATTAGGCTTAGATGCTTAATAAATAAAATTTCAGCTAAAGAAAGACAAGGTCAAGTAACAAAGAAACCATACAAACATATTGTTAATGTCATACATCTGTTACTTGTACATTCAAAGTTATTTTACCTACATGGTATAGATAAAGAGTATGTTCAACAATATATATTTATTTATTTATATATATATATATATATTCACGTAACTGTAAAAAATCAACAAGAAAAAACACACACAAAAAAAAAACATCATTCGCTGTTGTAATTTCAAATTGCCCTAGCAACGAAAAATAATGAAACCTAAACAAACACACTGAAAATATTCACGGCGACAAAAGCAACAGCAGAAAAATCTCGTTCTTTTACTTTTACGTTTTTTGGCACCTTCCATAAGAAAACGACCATCTTCACAACCGATGCTGTATGGTTGCTTGGAGTTAGAAATTGGAATGTATCATAAAGTGCGACATAACTTTTCCCCAAATAAATGAAGTCCGGTGAAAGAATTTCCACAAGAAAATAGATAGCCAGCAGCAATTCGAGAAAAACATAGAAATGAACGTACATTTCCAGATGTACATTTGATGGTGAAACCGCCATTGAACGGCGTGTAAGGATAGACGCGAGACAAACTCCGTCGTATTTTCCGGATTCGGTTGAGAAGTTTCGTCGCAGGATTCCGTTACCTTATATCGAGTTGTAGAAAAATCACAGTGGAGGATAAGAATCCTTCTGGGGGAGTATCGGCGCTGAAAATTAAGATTTGCAGAAGAAAAACTCGGCGACCTTCATCGACGGAGGCGTCCTGCGGTGGAAATTAGGTTTTGGAATGATTTTTGGAAGAAGGCCGCTGCGGATACGGATGTATGGGCTTTGGGCTTGGTTGAAGTGGGTTTACTATGATCATTGTAAATTTATTAGTATATAAATATTGTAATTATGATTTTTTTTTAATTTATAAATTTAATAAATACTACTTTCATCCAGTTCTAACGATCTCATTTACTTGTGCGTTGATCTTCGAATATTAATTATTATATCAAAATATAGTACAAATTAAAAAAAATTAAAAAATACTTTCATTAGTGTCTTATAATACTAATAAAAGGACATTCGTACGAACAAATTATATAAATATAAGAATATTTTCAATATTAAGTACAATGACGCAAAAGGTAAATATGACCTTAGAGGCGGATTGAGGTAATATTTTTTTTTTAAATTGTAAATATAAATGTATTTTAGACAATTAAGATAAAACGAGTAATATCCATGGAAATAAAGTAAATATATAATTTTTTATTGACAAAAATTATAAGTGTGGATGGTCATTCGGGATAATATTTTTAGTGTTGCATATTGTACTTTCAAATCTCAATCTATCTTTATTCCTCACATTTCCTAATGTTTGAGTGTCTGACAATCACTCAAATTTTGCAAGTTGAATATTAGCGTCATACATTTCCCTCCTAAATTGAGTTTTGATGTATGAGTTTATATATTCATGCATATTCATTAGGTTTGCCCTTAAGCATGACACTTATAGATTACAATAGAATCATTATGTAGTCCCGCAAGGGATGACCTGATAATGTAGAGGTTGGATTTGTGATTTTGAGCTCATGGGTTCAAACCTCAACACCTCAGGTCACTTGTCACACATGGTTCATCTAGTGTGATTTTTCCGTCGGACCTGATTTGCAAGGTATTAGATTCGGCCGGAGGTTTGCAAGGTATTAGGTTCGAGGAGGATATTAGTACGTGGATTCTTTAAATAAATAAACATAATAATAGTAAAGGCAAATCAGCCCGCGGAAAGAGGAATCGAGATCCAATGGAATTTCCAATTCTATTTTTTATGACTAGTGAACGATTGAACCGATGGTGGTATGAAACGGACGAACTAGGTTAGATATTGTGTGTGCGGTCAAACTGTATGAAAAATTGGGTGATTTTGTTGAACCGGATGAAAAGAAGAAAATATGCGAAAATCCCCTTTGTATGAGAGCCATTGTGTGTATACATTTATTTACAGTAGCCTCAATTTATTAATAAATGTCTTGACGCGTCGGTCAAACACGTGTTTTTTACTTTTCAAAGGTTCTTTTGGACCAGACCACTACAAGTGCTCTAAGGTTCCTCCAAGATCGATCATTGTTACGTAAAAGATAAAGCCCAAACAATCTCTTACTTGTCGTTTATGTACTCCATCCCTTGAGTTCGCATATACTTCAACTAAATTAAAATTTTCGTTTGATTCAAATGACGGGCAATGTATCATATGCGTGAACTCATAATAAATGTGGCTATAAGGCCGTTAAATATAATACAACTAGAACATGATAAGAATTAGTCCTCAACCTGAAAGTTGTTTGAATAATCATGTCCTGAGTAATGTTGAGTAAGTCTACTACAACGGAAATTCATTTATGTGTTTACACTTGTGTTCCACTACAAAACTTGTTGAGATTTTTAGCTACTTATATTGTTTTCTAAAGACAATTGTTGTAGGAGATAGTTTTGTTTATTTATAAGGGAGATAACACGTTGCTTTGTGGGTTGTCTTGGTTGCTGTTGTTGCACATTTTCTCCTTTTTATTTTAAAACTTTTACGACTTTCTGCTTGTAGTAAGTTACTCTCTAATAAGTGTCATTTATCTTGTTTAAGTTAAATACATTCTCTTCTTTCACATAATTTTAATTCTATATAGATATATTGAAATGTACGTATATATGTCATAAAAAAATTTCAGATATCTCTCATAACTTATATTGTGTTATAGTCTTTAGTCTAATACTTCAAGAACATGCAATACACCATATAATTTCCAGACAATTTTGTAAGATCATAACACTATTTTTTCAAATGTACTCCTACTTGATCAATAATTTTGATGAATATCTATAGTTGAGGTTTGATTTGTATCATGCTTCATTTTTCATCTCACTATATAAATGGGTATTGTATCATATCATTTTCATGCAATAGGTTACTCGCTCCAAATTCCTAATTTTCATATTATGCATCACCATATAGTAGTAATATTCTTTATTGCAAACAACAAACAGCCGAAAAAGTATGTATAAATGTGTGGATACTAAAGGATTTCTAATTGCATAATCGGGTAGCCGTACAACTTTGCATGATAACCCTCATTTTTTGTTTTTGGCCAAGTAATTTTTATAAAATCCTATAACTCTGGATAACGGCCAGATCAAATACCAGCACAATTCAACAGGTAATTTCTATCCAAAACCATCCAAGAAGCGCCAACGCTTCGACCTGCTAGCTTACGTTAGTATTTGATAGAAAGTATAGCTTTAATAAATATGTTTATAAGTCGATACGGTTCAGATTCCATGCTCGCCTATGGTGCATTATTGTCTACCAAGTCAAGCGAATAAGTATTATAAATCATTGTCGCTTCCGAATTGGGCTCTTTGGGTTCAACGTCACAAGCATTCACATACAAACTCATATTGTACTCGTTATATGCCATAATCCGAAGAATCATCTAAGACTAGGATGACAATGCCCGGTAGATGGAAGAGCTTGAGGTAATACTCGTACAGGGCTAACAAACGAATCAGGTCAAATCGAGTTTAGGTTCTTGTTGGATTAGAGAATCTTTTACCTGAACCTGACTTATTTAATTAAATGAGTTGATATTTGCAATCTTAATCCGACCTTTCATTAATCGGATCAATCCGAATCTGATATGTATAACAAGTCTAAATTTTTTTAAATTTTAATTTAAAATCACAATTTTTGTTAACAAAATTTTCAAATGCATAATATATATATATTAAAGCAAAAAATGTTTATTCATATTATGAAACTGATATTCAATAGTCGAATTAACAAACATTACACAATAATATACAACACAAACATACGTTGGATTTTGATTTTCAATCTATTGAAAAAAAAAAATGAAAGTCTTTCTTTTATTTAATCCTAATTTTGTAGAATTTTAGCATATATATATATATATATATTGTATTCTTTATTTTTATAAATTGGCCAATGAATATTTTAATTAGATTGATAAAAATTTAAAAAATATATTTACATTTAAAATAATATTAATTAAACAAGTTAGACGAGTTATTTTCATGTTGAAATTTGGATCTAATCTTGACCCATTTAATTAAATGGGTTATTGACCCAATTATTAATTGGGTTAAAAATCTCAACTCAAATTCAACTATTTCAGGTCAGGTTAATTTTCCAACCCTATACTCGTATTGATCTTCTACTCATACTTTCAAGTTGGACACTTCGTATACAGAGATTTTACCAAGGTTGCTTGGGGACAAATCGTGCAAGAGTTTGCAATAGAGTCCCACCAACCTTATAAACTTTATCAACTTCAAAGTAACTACATCTGTTTGTGAGAAGCTACCGTTTACCATATGACCTACGTACAACCAAACCGAATTAGGAGATTTCGTACTTATGAAAGAGTGAAAAAAGATAAATTTCATAATTGATACTACAATTTCCTTATCGTTTCTATTTAAAGGCGAATCAATTACATAACTATTATTAATCAATTATTTATTATATATGAATTAATTTTTAACAATATATTATACCTCATTATTACCCCTTTATATTTCATTGATTAAAAATATAAAAAAATAAGATAAATTTCAAATAAGTATTAAATAAAAAAATTATTATTATATTTTTAATACTCTTCGCTATAATATTTATTAAAATAAATTATTACAAACACTTGAAGAAATATCAAAAGGGAAAAGAGAAAAAAATGACAATTTGGATATTTTATTAAATTGATAGAATAAAATACCCTCAAGGGTGTTGGATGGTAATACTAATCCTAAAAATAGCTACTACTGTATCAAACATATAACTATACAAACATATAACTATACCGGACAACTTGAATACTTTAAAGTAAATATTGGATAGAATAGATAAAATAATATTATCTATCATAATCAAATATAGTAAATGCATGAGTATAAAAATAAATAACTAACAAGAAGATTCAAGCAATAGTTTTCCAACTTGAGTTGTGTGCATCCAACTAATTAGGAATGGCAATTCGGGCCAGCCTGAACTTTTTTTCGGCCTGACCCGATTCCAAACCATGATGAGCCAACACGGCCCGATTACAAATCAGGCCTGGAAAGGCCGGCCCGAACATGACCCGATTTGAAATCAGGTTGTGCGTGCCAGCCAGCTTTCCTTTTTTTTATTTTTAAATTATTTTATTTATTTTTTTTAGTTTCAAATTAATTTAGAACAAAATATACTTAAATAGTAAAAGTGAACCACAATTAAACAAATACAACCCAAGAACTTTACCATTAGGAACAGCCCCACTTTAATGAGCTCGGGTATCGGGCTAGGCACGGCCCAAAAATTTTTGGGCATATTTTTTTAGATCCAAGCACGATTTTTTTATACCGTACTCGGACCAAACTTTCAGACCGTACTTATTTTTGCCACCCCTACAAGTAATCATTTTGGTTGCTTGTCTTAACCAACTAATTTTTTCCTCTTAGCATCACTACTGCTCATTGATAAAATATAACAAACATAACTAAATTTTGATTGAATCCTACCTCAACCACTTGCAAGTTCTTGAATCATTTCATTATTTATACATATAACCCTAATATGCATTGAAGCTATATCGAAATATTTTTGTTCAATAAGAGTATTACTAAGCTAGATCATGTTAGAATAATCTTGCACATGGTTTTCAGGATAGGGTATTCCATCATGCAGCAGAAGGAACCTTTTCTGACATGACCACCAAACTATTGATCCAAACTTTTAATTCACCATATCCTCTTTGAACTAAAGTCACTAACATGTTACTAATTTGAGAGATCAAATGAG